GAGCAGCTGTGCATGGCAACCAATCAGCTACTTTCTTTCATTTTCAAATCCTAACTGAACAAACTAAAGATAAAACCTAATCGGTTGCCATGCACATCTGCTCTAGATTTTGTCTGCTCCAGTTCTGATAAATTCCCCTCTCTGTGTCCTTAATCTCTTTTTCTATTTTAAAAGGGAAATATCAGAGGTCTAGACCCCTGATATTTTCCCAGAGCCACCGACAATAAAAAAATAAAAAATAAATATATAAAAAAAAAAATTCAAAGGTTAAAATTTTCGTTGATATTTTCCCAGAGCCACTGACAATAAAAAAATAAAAAATAAATATATAAAAAAAAAATTCAAAGGTTATAATTTTCGGTTTACTTTCTTTCTGACGATTTATTTTTTTCAGTTTCGGTCTGAAAATTCCATTTCGGTGCACCTCTAATAAGAGTATTGATAAAATGTGACATGTGTTCTTGTTATCGGCCACTAGGTGTCAGTATAACCTGTACATACATCTAGATGACAGAGAAGTCAGCATGGAGCAGATCATTGTACATCCGGGTGACAATACAACCTTCCTGTTTCTCCAAAATAAGGAAGCAGTTGTCGGGATGGTTGTGCTGGGTTCCCGCTGAATGTGAGTCGTGTTTGTATCTTCTCTGTTACAATTTATCTGTCCCTGGTCGGTCTGTATACAGAGTTCAGCAGCTGGTGTATTGGGTGACATTGGAGGTGTTCGTCCTTCATAGTCCTGTGTGTGTTGTGTACACAGAACGCCCTCTGTGGTTTGTGATGTCTATACACGTGTTTCTTCTTCTTCTCCTCCTCCTCCTCCTCCTATAAATGATGTGATGGGTGATCAGTGTTTGTAGAATAAACTCCATTAGTGATCTATGGCAGATGTACTGATGACAGCCCTGGCACTGTGCTCCGAGCAGACATAGGTGAGGATCTTCTTCTTTCACACATGACCAAAGCTGCTTCCTTACTTCTGCATTACAACCACACACAGGAGATGCCAGTAGAAGAACCTGCTCTGGGCTGCCATGTTATTTCCTCTCATTACTACATATTACAGTCCAAAGGATTGTCATCCATTTCAAATGCAAATCACTTACAATGGATGCTGCTCCTTGAGGTTTTTTAAATGTTCCTGTTTATGGGGATCAGACTTAGTTTAATACACTTTTTTTTTTTATTCCCCCCTTTACAGGTGCCTCCATCCTGTAGCCGGCGGCTGTGGAGGCACCCAATGCATGCTCGCTCCAAGCTGTGGTGTGTCTATAGATAGCTGCGCTGTGTCTATAGATGCCACGCCCCCACTCTTTCTGTCACAGTGTGACCGACAGCAGAAGGAGCCTATGGCTTCCCTGCCCTCACTACCCTCCCCTACAACCAGAAAGTTTGGGGAGCGCCGAGTGTCCTGGTCGCAGTGGAGAAGACAGAAAATTACTTGGTGTTTTTTTTTACCCTAATGCAGAGCATGCTTTGAGGCAAAAAACATCCAGCCTTTAGTACCACTTTAAAAGATTTAGTATCCGGCACCTTAGGGTGGCTCCTGTCTAAAGATCTACTGATAATTGGGGCGTATATTCCAGAATTGTAAAATTATCGGTAAAAGGTAACAATAATATCCATAATAAACACTGTGTGAAATTTGCACAGTGGGTGCCGCTTCCTGGCTGGCATTCCTCAATCAGCTGATCGAAGGAACCTGTCAGTAAATCTACCTAGGAACAGAGCTGGCAGCCTCAGGCCCCATTCACACTGAGCGACATGAAAATCGCGCGATTTTTATATGTGCGATATTGTGCGACTTGTCGCGCTACGTCGTGCGACATCTTCCTATTGGGCTGTATAAAATCAGGAGCAAAATCTCTCGAAATCTGCAGAAAAAAGGGTAGCGACAATCTACAGCGACGAGCTACAAGCGATATTGAGCGGCGAGATGTGAACAGCTCCATTTGAAATGGATTGTAGAAGCTACATAGAGCGATATCGCGGCAAAAATCGTGCGATAAATCGCTCAGTGTGAATGGGGCCTTAAGGTGCCCATACACTTTACAACCCTTGCAAGACTTTTGTCTTGCGAGGGTTGTAAAGTAGTTAAAAAAACGTACGATCTGCCCATCTTGGACAGGCAGATCGTACTTGCGATCATCGCAAGCCCGCTTCCGATGACCGCAATGAGGGGCGGGCTTCCGATGACTGCAATGAGGGGCGGGCTTCCGATGACCGCAATGAGGGGCGGGCTTCCGATGACCGCAATGAGGAGCGGGCTTCCGATGACAGCAATGAGGAGCGGGCTTCCGATGACCGCAATGAGGAGCGGGCTTCCGATGACCGCAATGAGGAGCGGGCTTCCGATGACCGCAATGAGGGGCGGGCTTCCGATGACTGCAAAGGGTCAGTGTGCGCGTGCGCACACCGGTCTGTTCGGCAGTTGTCGAACAAGCAGACCACTAACTTGCCCAGAATCGTACGATTCCTGGCGGGTTTTCCAGCCTGCTTGTTCGATGGAAGACGTGCGACCGTACAGCAGATTAAATGGGGTTGTGGTCAGCCAATATCAGGCGACTGCCTGCTGTTTACATTCAGCTGGCGTAGCTGCATGTAAACAAAATATCGGTAGCTGATTTAGGTTATCGGCCCATAAGCGGTATCAGTTCAGAAAAATCGATATCGGTCAACCCCCTACTTCTTTCCCTTGCAGGGTCCTATAGAGCCACCCTTTTGTGTGCTCCTAAGCTGTGTGTGTCTCCACAAATACACAGGCACAGAAATCAAGCCTCTCCCCTCTCTAAGCTAGTAGATGAACAGCCATTGAAGACTGCCCTGTTCCTTGTGATCTTGTTCTTGATAGGAAGTTCAGGGATGCAGAGCTAAGAGTTGGAGCTCTTCTGAAACATGATGACTGTGTTTGGGTAGAAATGTAAACAAATACTTTACTGAGCAATGTATATTTGTTTGATTAGGATTCATTATTGAAGAAAAAAGTGTAATACTACTTTACACTTACATACATGTGTCTGCCATGCAGCATCAGAATCCAGCACACCGTCTAAAAATGATTTCCAAGGCAGAAATAGCACTAGACAAGTATTCTTGTATCTGTATATATTGTATATAAATTCAATGTTTCCATATTTAGTTTAGGAGAGAGCGAAGAGCAGTTAGAACCCCTACTAGGGAGATTCACCTTCTCTATGCATCATGGTGACCAGGGCTGCAACAACTAATCGATGAAATCAATGATAATCGATTATGAGAATAGTTGGTAACTATTCTCATTATCGGTTAGTTGGTGAGAGAGAGAGAGAGATTGTTTTTTTTTATGCATCCAATCGATTAGTTGAAAAAATAATCGGGCTACTAATCGATTATGAAAATAATTGTTAGCTGCAGCCGTAATGGTGACCACTGCCACCTGGAATGAAATTGAGAGAAAATCCAAGATTGTGCGTTGTCACCAGAACAGCAATAGAGGTCAAATCTATTAATGGGGACAGTTTTTCTGGTGACAACTAAGGGAACATTTCCATTACTTTGGAGATTGGGAGATATATCAGATTTACCAAAACAATATAATATGAGGACCAGCCTAAACTCTCCAATCGGTTAATATCCAGTCAGACAGGCCCTTGCACCCTATGGTTGTTGGAATGTCTACAACCAGACTGTAACGTGTGTGTGTGGTAAGCGTAGCATGGCAATAAATAGGTTTAGATACTTCAAGCTCCATTTGCATTTCCTGCGCAGTTTTCCGTGTGGAAGACTGCGCGTTACTGCAAATGCTAAAATCTTTCATCCACACAGATTCTGCTCGTTTGCGGTTATTATATAGCCGCCAACGTGCAGAATCCGTCCAAAAAAAAAATTGCGCTTGGACTATTTTGCGGGCCGTGCAGTTTCGCTCCGCGCGTATTCGGCTGGCCGAATTTAGCCACGGACAACTGCTCATGTGTGAATGGAGCCTTATCAACCTTTTAGATACTTGAATGACTGATTTGCAGTTATGTACATGAGAGTACCATGTGACACACTGTACGCAAAGCAGGGCGGAGCGGTGGTTCCTGGACCTTCACGTGCAGTGTGTCATGTCATTTTATCTCTGGCACGTCAGGTTGCGAGAGCTCACATAGCTGATTGTGCCGAGATGAACAATGTCATCTTCAGCCAATCGACGCTTGCATATAAACCCGCGCGTCATGATGCAAAGTCCATTTGTTTTTTTTTCGCGTCATCTGATTGGCTGAAGATGCAGTCTATCATCTGGCTGCACTCAGGTCACACACTGCATATGAAGCTCCGTGCCTGACAGCTTTGCTTCGCTCTGCAAGGCTTCCTATGCAGTGTGTCGGGCTCGATGTTACTGGCCTTCCTTTCTGAACATGCTGCTTGGCCTTCGGTCACCCTACCCCTTTCACATTGAGTTCTTGTTCAGGAACAAGTATGCTCTTAACTTTCTCTCTTCTGGGTTAGGAACTCAAAATATGTCACATTTATTGAGTTGGCATGACAAATGGTCAACTTGCAGTTTCAAAAACAGACCAGCAATGACAGCCTCCATCTTTCTGTCAGGACAAGTTTGCCAAGATCTATGTCCTCCCTTTAGTCATCAGAGTGCTGTGTTGTTCTTCCCAGTCTTCTCCAGTTTTGATCCATTCCCCTCATAGAGAACAATGGTTAATTGGGTTGATGAATGTAGATGAGCGCAGCTCATGTGTTTTGGAGGGAACAGTTGGGCTTTACATGAAAAAGAACAACCTTTGCCCGCCCACACGATATTCGGCCGCTCCTTTCAGCAGCAAACAAGTGACTAAGCCGTGTGTTTTTAACGAGCCACGTGGGTTCGGGCGTGGTAATGTGTCATAACATCCCCGGCCGGGCGTTTTCTGAATGCCGTTCAAGGTGAGCCGATTGAATGGCGGCTGACACCTGTAGGAGTGTCCCCAGTGTGCGGGCGGCGGCATTGCAGATGTCTCAGTATGGGGAGTGATAGGAGGCTGGCCTGGAGAACCTCGTGATTTCCCCTGGGGAATGCCGCTGTCATAGTGGTAGCGGAGTCACCGAGATCGGGTGAGTGTCACAGCGCCTTGTACTGATCCTATGTGACTAGAATAGAATCCATCGTGTGTCTGTATTACCGGGAGCTTGGGGGGGCATGTCATGTACTGCGCACTGCTTGCATGGGTGGAATCAGGGCTGTACTATCCATGTGTATGGGCTGCACAGAGGGCGTCTGGGGGGGGGGGCGTCCACACCTAGGCATCATTGCTTTTATGTGAATTCTTATCAAGTTTTTTTTTTTTTGTTTCTTGCATGTTTATGTGCGTTTTGCAAATTTTTGTGTGCATTAGACAGGCACATACAAAGACACGTTTTTTGCTGGCAGCTTGAGAGACATTGCGGTCAATGGACAAACGCTCGTGAAAATGTGCAAAATGCTTCTGTTGCCCGTTTCCATTGAAGTCTATGGGGAAAATCGAGCTGCAGACAGCCAAAATAAGCTTTTTTTTTTTTCTGCTGTGTGTGAACAGGGGCCGTTGAAAGTCATGGGACTTTCTTGTGTTGGGTATTTTGAAGCGCGTTTTCTACTGCTGAAAAACACCTAGGTGTGAACAGGTTGTTAAAGGGTTATTAAACCCTCCGGTTTTTTTTGCCTATATCTACTGCTAGCAAGCAGTAGATATATGCAAAAGGTTAAAAAAAAAAAAATCCCCGCTTTAGCAGAGGATTAAACTTACCCCGTTTTCGCTGCGCGCTCCTGCCCGAGAATCCGAAACTGCTTGGGCGGCTGCAAAGTATCTTGGGGCGGGCGCATGCGCAGTTCAGATTTTCGGCCAGAAGGTAAGTCCTATAGACGCGTGCCCCCGCATGCAGACACCGTGGGACAGGAAGTGCCAGCAAGGACAGAGGAGTCAGCGCTGGATCGGAGAGCCGCCGCACCGCTGGAAGGACAGATGAAAATATCAGGAAAGAAGAGGAAGATCGGATTAAGAGACATCATTTTAAGTTAAGTGCTAACATTAACATTGGGGGGGAGGGTAAAAGCATTTTTTTAATTTTAATGTCACTTTAAGGTAGAGGTGGGTGCTGGAACCTCTCCCCCACCCTCTGTCATATAGACATGGAATTCCTTTTAATACCATTTGGATTGATTGATGGAGAACAGAGAGAGAAATAAAAGCAGAAGTACATTGATTTGTGATTGACTTTCTCCAGCGACGTCGACCTTTCCAGGTTCTGGGAAGTCCTCCTTGGCCATTGGTTGCCCACTGATACTGACTGCGTGCGGAATTCTTTGAATCTGGAAACCCATTTGAAGGTGTTGTGCTTTATAAAAGTGGAATAACTGTGGGCATTATAGGCAGCGCTGACCTGCAGGAATTCCCACCACAAGGCTCTTGGAATAGAGCTGCAAGTCACTACCACCACTTGGGGTTACCCCTTGGTAGAACACAGTCTTCCCATGAGAAAGTATGGCCCTTCCTCTAGACACATATGTTCTATCCACTCCACTTCAGGTACTGGCTTTCTGGGGCAAACTACACACTGTTCAAGTATATGAAGATGATAGCCACACGCTGAATTGACTCGTACTTGGCTTTATTGAACCAATCACAGACCACACAAGCTCCTTACACCTGTAAAGAAGAACTCTGGAATTCAAATGTACCCTTGCAGTGGGGCTACCCCAGCACTGTAAGGGTTGAGCACTTGTTTTGTCTAGGGGGCTCAAATAAAGCAGGTATACTCACCTGAGGTCAGCACTTAGCCCTCTCCCCCTCTGCTCCAGCTGTGGAATGTCCCTCGGCATCCTCATGTCAAATCCACTCTATGGACCTGCATTAGACATGATGACATCACCTGTCCTTAGACTCCTAGAGTGCAGGGGAGAAGAGGCTGTGGGGACAGGTCTAGCAGCCAGGTGGGAGCGAGAAACTGGTGAGTATATCAGCTTTGTTTGAGCCTCCTAGACAAAATTAGCACTTTTCCCTTGCAGTGCGGGGGTAGCCCGGCCACAAGGGTAGGGTTTTTTTTTCCTGGAGTTCTTTAATGGCTCCTTCGTGGTGGAAAGGTTAAGAAATCTGCTTCCAACAGTTGAATTCCACAAGATGTCTGCTTGTATTTTACCCTTATAAACAGAAAAGCCTTTTTTCTTTGCCTGGCTCTCATTTTCACCTTCTTTCTGGGATCTAACTTTCCATGACGTCATGACATTCCAGCGCCCAGCGAGTCTGCCTCATTATCTAATCAGGACATTCTGACTTGACAGTGGAATGGCATTTGGCAGCTGAGGGAACTTCAGGCCCCAGAATCCAAGTGCAACGAAACCAGAGAGGAGCATACAGTAGGCTCTTTAGGGCCAGTACAGGTAATGGCCGGCATCTTGGTTTTGGCTGCTCATGGGCATGACTTAAAAAGTCTCTTAAAGGGTTGGTTTTATTTTTGCATATATCTACTGTTAGCAAGCAAGAGATATATGCAAAAACTGTAAAATAAAAAAACGCTTTAAAAGCGTTTTAAACTTACCCCTGTCTTCGCCGCTCGCTCCCATCCGAAAATTCTCGGGCGGCCGCAAAGCATCTTGGGGCGGGCACATGCGCAGTTGAGATTTTCGGCCGGGAGATGAGGAGAGACACAAGGTAAGTATATGGACGGCGTGCACCCGCATGCAGACACCGTGGGACAGGAAGTGCCAGCAAGGACAGAGAAGTCAGCGCTGGATCGGAGACCAGCAGCAGCGCTGGAGAGAAGGCTGGAAAGGACAGGACAGAAGAGGAAGATCGGATTAAGAGATATCATTTAATGTAAGTGCTGACATTAACATTGGGGGAGGTAAAAATAAATGATACTTTAATGTCACTTTAAGTTGGGTATACACGGTTAGAATTTTGAACAAAATCGATTTTTGAACGTGCATTAAATTTTCTAATGATTAATGCGGTGAAACCGAAGATCGATCAAACCACAGTGACTGAAAGATTCAGAAGGAGCATATTGGGAAAATGTTCTCAATTGAACGAATTTGTAACCATGAATGTGGTTTTCATTCAGGAAACTCCTTTCATTCCAAAATCAAATGTTAAATGATAAACCAAAATCAAACGAAATTTTAACCGACAATCACCAAGTGTCGGTTGGCGTTATCGAACGTTGTGACGGGACTTTAACGTTGGTTTGAAAATCTACCCGTGTATTCTCTACTTATAAGTGGCTGTTTAGTTATCTTCATCATATTTACTCATTCCATAAACAGGTCCTGCTTTATATTTTACTTTTGTTATCCTCCTACTGCTCTTCACAGTAGTAGAAGTGTATGGGTCTGAAATCAAAGCATTCCCTTTGTGGATGAAGCAGTGACTGCGTGATTGTAGCAAAATACACATCTCCATCCAGTGCTTAATCCTCAAATTCTAGAATCTATACAAATGTGGACAAGCGAGAATGTAAAAATATGTGTTACATCAAATTGCTTGAAGGGAAACACTACAATAATAGTAATGTGTGTGCACTGAAAATACCCCGTATTTGTTCTTTAACCTCCCTGGCGGTCTGATTATTTCATTTGTTTCCCCTTTTTTTTAAATGTTTTTTTGTTCTCCGTTATTGTTACTTTTAAAATTCCCGCCGGTTCCGCCCCCTTGCGACGCGGATGGAAGACAGATGCCGGCATCGGCTGGAGGACACAGCGCGGCTCAAGGGACAAGGTAAGTAACGCTACGCTGTAATCCCGAGTGTGGCTCAGGGTTACCGCTTTATGGTACTGAAAATTAACCACGAGCCACACTCAGGATTACCGCCAGGTAGGTTAAGGCCCAACCCCAACCAGCACTGGAGGATAGGAGAAGTCACTCCGATGGGGAACTGACAGAGGTTCTAAACCTGCCCCACTGGACTCTAAAATAAGACTCTTTAGGACAAAGTGACAGTCCTCTTGTTTCCCCCAATATTTAGAAAGTTTTTACTATGATCTGACAGCCGCAAATAAGATTCACCCCGGTCCTGGAAGTTTATATAAGATTAATAATGTGGGACATGCGTTTTTGTACCGCACAAACACTGCCCTAGTGCGACCAGCTCACATTAAAAAGCATTATTTTTTTATGTTGAGCGCGTTTCAATGCACTAAACATTTTTAAAAAATCATGCGGGAGGCAGAGAGAGAACTCGTTAAACAGATAAGGCTCCATTCACACACAGCGATAGCATTTGCCGCGCGAAACGTAACATACAAGCAGATTCCACGCGTTGTGCGGCTATAGTAAAAGCCACCAACGTGGAATCTGTCCAGAAAATCACGCTAGGACTTTTTTGAGGGATGCACATTTTTGTACTGTGCGGTTGCCACCCTAGTGCGAACGGCTTATATTGAAAAGCATTTTTTAAAAATGTTTAGCGAGTTTCTGCGTACCAATATGCACATTAAACTGCTAATCTGTGAATGGGGGGCTAAGGCTCCGAGACGTACCCCCATTGTCTTCCTCATGATCCTGTACAGGGATGTGTTCTTATTGGTATTTGTACAAACAGGAAAAAATACCGGCGCCTTCAATTTCAAGGTGACCGGCAGCTTAATAAGGCAAACATGAAAGAGGCAGCTACCACAGGTCAAATAGACCGCCAATCTAGGAAACAAAGAACGAAAAAAGGCGCCTCCATAGTGTAAAAATGTAATTTAATAATAAAACACGCAGCTCTAGGCTGTACTTACAGAAATTTCTGTTTTTATTATTAAATTACATGTTTACACTATGGAGGCGCCCTTTTTTGTTCTTTGTTTCCTAGATTTGTACAAACCTGTGCAATCATCTTTGTGCGTTGTCTTACACTAAGAATATGACAAACAGATACGGGAAAACATTTAGTAAATAACTGGTAGTTTAAAACTAGTAAGTTACACACTGTAATGAAAATACAATGGGGGGCGGGCAATTTACTGAAACTGGAGCAGACAGAATCTGGAGGAGCTGATAATGGTAACCAATCAGCTGGTTCAGTTACGCTTTACAAATGAAAGTTGGAAGCTGATTGGTTGTCATACACAGCTGCCCCAGATTCTGTCTGCACCATTTAGTAAAGTCCCCTTAATGTGCGTTATGATTTGTGCTTTGCTACTTTTGTGTCTTAAATGGTTTTCCCAGCCAATCATTTTTAAAACATTTTGAATAGGAAAGGGAACCCATTCTTTTCTTTATCTATGTCTCATTGTGGAAAATTCCCTTTTTCTTGATCCTTGAGCAACCACAGAAAATGAGACGAAACCTCTGTAAAGTGAAGGGAAATCCACTCCTATCTGTCACCAGAATGTGTGTTCCCATTGAAAGAAATCCCCTCGCCTCCCGGTGTGGTGACAACCATAAAATGTTTGCTCTCCTTCCATTCTCTAGATCGGTGATGGTGATCACCAGGACAAATGGAGAGGGTACATTTCCCTGGCCGGGACAGAAATGGTTATAAAGGTCAAGTACTGTGCAGACGTTTTGCAAATGGATTTTTAGTGAGTCAAAAGGGAACTTTGTGATTTCTGCTTTGGCGTTTCTCAACCTTCTTTCAGTCACGGCACAATCTTGCAGCACACCAGTCAAAACTATACATTTGTAAAAATGTGTCATTC